ATCATGTGCTTTCTTACTGTGGTAAGCTTTCATTTTAAAAAGGCTGGAGAGTAGTTATGCACAAAGTACTCAGAAGAGACTGAGTACAGAAAACACAGTCTGTGGTTCAGCATCCAGCTATCACTGTTGGTTCTCTTTTCTGTACCGCCTCCTCTGCTGCTTCAGCTGCTTAGTAATCAGTCTGGAGCACACCCCTGGTTGGAAACTAGCCAGACAATAAGACATGTTCCTTTTGCCAATCTAGGATTTATATCAGCTGTGGAAACCTGGTAATGATATTTAACAAGTGCGGTTAGTAGCCCACAATGAGCCATAGTCACAGCCTGTCCTCTGTTCCCTGCCCAAGAGGATCTGAGCTGCAGCCTACAGTTAGGAAACTCAGCACATCTTGTCTCAGTTGTGTTTGAGATTAGTCCAGAGAAGGCTGCACAGAGACAGGTAAGCCAAATGTAATCACACTTTCCAAGATTTGGGAAGCATTTGTTTTGTATTTCAGTGATTACAGCCAGGCATTGAAGCTAACACATCTTGTGGGGTTTCTCCTGTCCATACTAAGTAGCAGTCTATAAAGCAAATGATAGTTGGGATTTACTAGCAAATAGGCAGAGAGCAAACCAGAGAGTCTCCTTAACCTTGTGGATACATGTACTTCCAATATCTGGTCCCAATATCTCATCCCAAAATGACAGAACAGAATTGGAAAAAAAAATAAAAATAAAAAGTAACAAGGATGATCAGAGCCACATCTCCATTTCATATAAAGTAATATACCCATTTCTCAGTGTCTGAAAACCTTGATATGGAAATATAGGGAAAAAAATGAGGAAGGCAAGGCAAGGGAAAGGGCGAAAATGTCACAAAAGGAAAGTACTGTATTTAACACTGCAATTAAACCACTCTGCTTTTATGACCAATGTACTGCATGGGGTAACCATTACTGGCAGTTTAAGGTCTCTGGTTTACAATACTGAATATATTCTGTAGATAAGTAAATATATAACTTTCAATTTATGATATTAAAAGTGTCAAATATGTACATACTATTTTTAATATAGAAAAGTTTATTCTTTTCTAGGTTATACAAAGCAATATATCCTCAAGTGGGGCTACGTTAATTTATTTCATAATTGTTCCGAATTGTACCCAGGACGATTTTTTAAACAAATGGCATGTGCAGGTAAGCATCAATTTTCTTCCTATAATATCTTTAGCATCAAACCCACTGTTTATAAGGCCAGACATACAGGATGGGAATCTTTTAGACTTGGGAAAGCCAATAAACCAATTGCCACATTATCACCATTAGCCAAATGCTAGCCACTGGAGTCTAGAAGCATCCACCATTATATATCTGCTTCATAATCAGAGTTAATAAGACAGGATGCCAAGTTTCTATGATTATGAGGGCAAATTTTCACATGCAATTCAAGTTATGTTTTCTAAATACTCAAAGCACTTTGCAACCCACTGAACTTCCTACCTTTACTATATTTAATTCTGAATCAGCAACATATTTAAGCAAATGTCTGTCTGAGAGCACATTAGTAGTCCCACTACCTAGAATGTGACTATTCATCTACTCAGACATTTGCTACTACCACACTACAACTCAGGAAAAATGCGATTAACTTTTCAAACTAGGGTTAGTCTGGCCAGGAAACTGGTTGTCACTCCTACTACTAAAATAAGGACTTTGAATGCACTTTTTTGCTTCTCAAGTAACAAAAGATATTGCCAAATACATGACTAGGAGACCAATGAGTATTCAACTTACAGAACAAATAGTTTCAAGTGTTCTTTAAATAAAAATGTAAAGTAGTTTATATAGTCTTGACAGTAAACTAATTAGAAAAGCCAAACAATTTTGGGTTGATGGCTGGTAAAAATGGTAAAAATGGGCTGATGCCAACCTTATGAAGTTTAACCATGCCAAGTGCAGGGTCCTACATTGGGGTTGGAGCAAGCCCAGCTACAATTTGGGCAGAGAAGAGATTCAGAGCAGCTCTGCGGAAAAGAACTTGGGGGTGTTGGTCGATGAGAAACTTAACATAAGCCAGCTTCAGTGTGCGCTTGCAGTTCAGAAAGCCAACTGTATCTTGGGTTGCATCAAGAGCAATGTGACCAGCAGGTCAAAGGAGGTGATCCTGCCCCTCTACTCTGCTCTTGTGAGACCTCACCTGGAGTATTGTGTGCAGTTCTGGTGTCCTCAACATCAAAAGGACATGGAACTGTTGGAACAAGTCCAGAGGAGGGCCACGAGGATGATCAGAGGACTGGAGCACCTCCCATATGAAGACAGGCTGAGGAAGTTGGGGCTGTTCAGCCTGGAGAAGAGAAGGCTGCGTGGAGACCTCATAGCAGCCTTTGTATCTGAAGGGGGCCTATAAGGGTGCTGGGGAGGGACTCTTCACTAGGGACTGTAGAGATAGGACAAGGGGTAACGGGTTAAAACTTAAACAGGGGAAGTTTGACTGGATATAAGGAAGAAGTTCTTCACTGTTAGGGTGGTGAGGCACTGGAATGGGTTGCCCAAGGAAGCTGTGAATGCTCCAACCCTGGCGGTGTTCAAGGCCAAGTTGGACAGAGCCTTGGGTGACATGGTTTAGTGTGAGGTGTCCCTGCCCATGGCAGAGGGGTTGGAACTTGATGACCTTAAGGTCCTTTCCAGCCCTAACTATTCTATGATTCTAATTTGTGATAAATTCAGCATGAGATCTATAAGATACTAGGTTTGTCTACTGTGCAAGTTCCATAACTTATCTCCTTGATCTTCAACTTATTTCAAGTGATCATACTTTACCAGAAAGGAACAAAGACAGTATCATATGGGAAAACATCATAAAAGGGGTATCTGGAATTAGCTTCTGCTCCCTGATGCAAATACAAACTTGGGAATTAAGGGCTACTGTCCCCAGGAGTTAGTTATACAAGCAAATATTAATTAAATTGAACAAAAGCAATGAAATCCTGTTTTCCAGGATTAGTAATTCCAGCTCTGAAAAGTTCACAAAACTCTTTCTCAGTAATGTAGGGACTGAAGAAAGAGGTTTTGTTTTTAAAACTTGGAGACTCATGCATAGTATGGTCTCCTTCATACTGGGTCAATCAACACAGCAGAAAAGTGTAGTAAGGGTGTTAGAAATTAATAAACTTTTACTGATATAAGACAAAGCATAAATCATATTCTAGGTCTGCAACAGTATTTCTGTTTAGATCACATCCTTCACTCTTAATTCAATTTTTCAGGAGCTGTATTGCAAACAAGTAGTTCTGTGAACATTGAAACTTATGAAGAATGCAGGATGCTACGCACTTGTGCCTCAGGGCTGCTATTTAGTCCACATTATGACCAAGACCTTGCAATAAGAGCACTTATAGACAGTTGCTCTCCCTCCCATCCCAGCATCCACATGCTCCTGACCTACTTTCATGAAGGTGGTAGAGAAAATTTTGAGGCCCTCTGCCTCTCTGTACAGCTGTGTACAGATGAAACCGGCCAAGAAATTACTGGGTAGAGGGGACACCAAATGCATGCACGTAGGCATAAACATAGCATGATAGCTTCTGCCATAGGAATCAGCCTAGAAATCTTTCTACCTTTTACCTTCTGCTTTTGGTCACTTTTTATGAGCTACTTTTAATGGTGTAATAGGCAATATGGCTGGATTCTCTACTGCACAGGGTAAAACAAGACCCACATCACTGACATCAGAGCAAATGAGAAGAATTTTGGCCAGCCACAAATGTAAAGAGAGGCCCTGCACTTGCAAAGAAAGGAGAAACAAGAGACCAAAGAAGTCAGGAACCCCCTTCCTGGTGATCATTAGGCAAACATCTGCCAGGAAGTGGCAAGAACCTGAAAAATCTCCTGAGCTCTGTTTTGTGTGATAGAGCGTATATGAACTTATTTTTTGCCTTTTATTTCTTCTTTTGCTTCAGGTACTTATGATGGCTCCACAGACAGTTGCAAAGGCGATTCAGGAGGACCTTTGGTCTGTTTTGACGCAGAAAATGTGGCGTATGTCTGGGGTGTTGTGAGTTGGGGTGAGAACTGTGGGGAGGCTGGTCACCCTGGTGTGTATACAAAAATTGCCAGCTATTATGACTGGATTAGCCATCATGTGAAAAGGAGTCTCATTTCACGGTATAATACCTAAAACTTGGAAAATTAAATGCTTCCCTCTTATCACCCATGCAAAAATGCACATTGGTCCTTTTTTACAATCAGCAGCCGTGTGACTTAAAAACAGTTAGAACAAATCTTTAAAGAATATATTCTGAAAATTCTTAATGCCCTGTGAATGCCACAATTCCACAGTTTTACAGAAGCCTGTAAGAATAGAATTTTACAATCATGAGTCCGCAGCAAAAGTCTCTAATAAAAGCTGGAAATTAAAATATCTTGTTGTTACTTTGGGTTCTTTTTTTTTTTTTTTTTTTTTTCCGTATTTCATATTCCATTTCAGTTGCAGTTGTTTATTTAGTTAAAATGCAACACCCATACTGAAAGCAGTAGTTGGAAAATGACTGCACTGGCAGTATGTGAACTTCACAGAAAAGACAGCAAATAGAGTACTTTCAAGAACTTGCATCATCTCAAGGTCTAGGTCACTAGAAACCCTCAGGATGCTGCCTTGCTTGGCAGCTGATTCTTCAGGCTTACTGCAAAAGTAGACTTCAGACAATCTATTAATTGACAGATTGACGATAATGATTAAATCTGTTGTAATATAATTACACCAAAATAATAACTCTTTTGGTGGTGTTTTTTTCAGCTACAAACTCAGACAATTTTTACCTAGTTAATGTTCCTCATCCGATCACCTATCTTGGGGCAATATTTGTAGCTCTTAATTTTTATTAATTTAACTACAGCTGGTCAGAAGCTACAAAGGAGTTTTAGAACCTGAATCTTAAATTAAAAGCATCTTTACTGTCTTTACTGTCTTATGTATGTGTATATATATATTTCTGGTATCCAACAAACTCTTCACAGCAAGTAGAGTTTTACTGCATATATATTTATATATACACACATACAAACATACACAGTATGCATAACAGTATAAATACATTAAAATGGAAAGTCTGTATATTGTACATATAGACTTAATTCTACAAATCCAAGTTACAGATCTAAAGTTAAAAATTAATAATCTCAGTCATAAAACCTCCCCACTGGATTCTCAGATTAACACAAGCTTTCTACAGAAATATACAGAAGCGTGAAACAGTTAATGCCAAGAAAGAGCATCTAGGGCCTGATCCTGCAGTATGCAGATAGGGAGTGTTGCTACTGCCTTAACTGATCCACAACTGGACAAAGACAAGGGGCCATCAACAAAACTGCAGTGATTAAATAGAAAACCCTCTGCTTTGTTCCTTGTGAGGAAGTTCTGCCCACATGGTAATAGGAAGCACAGGCCCAACCACTGCATAAGTTACACAATTTTAGGCAGCAGTAACAGTGCCAGCTATAAGACAATGTCACTGTATGTGTAATAGTCTCACATTCTGCAAGAGTTATGCACAGAGAGCGTGCACATTTTTTTTTACGGGTACTAGGATTTGGTTTGTGGATTGGTGCCCTTGACATTAAACTGTCAAATAGCTTCAGGTAAGTTCTATCAAACGGCTCAATAGCTTTAGAACATAGTTCACTGTATTTTAAATTAGAAATGTTTTTAGTATCTATTTTATTTTATTCCTCTCAATGATTATCCTGTTGAATAAATGGCATATGATCACACACCACAGTTGTGGTGGTATTTTTTCTATAATTCACCATACTTTGCTTCCAATGACATTTTTACATTTTCATTGACTTCCCTTCCAGTCTTGTAAAAAACCCACATCAGCATGAATTTGTCATGTAAATACACTGACAATCACCAACAGTTAAAGTAATGGTACAAATTGTTTGTCTTAACCCCCCCAACAAGGCTTGCTTATTTAGGAAAGCATTTAAGTATATTGCTATGCAGGAATTATTTTGTTGAATCAGGGTCTTTGTAAACTAATCATAGGGAAAAGCTGGATGCTGGATGGGTGTAGGAAGGGCTCCCCCTTTTGTCTGACTTCTGTAAAGAATTTTTCTCACCTACTTCAGTTAACTACAAATAATATTAAATGCTGACGCTGAAAAGAGAAATAACAGTAGAATATTTACTATGTTCTTTCTGGTGTGCCTGTTGATCTGGAATTTCCTCAGAAGTTTCATTTCCTGTCCGTCCTTACAATTAACTTTGTTCTGAAGCCAAATACTACTATGTTCTGAGGGATTCCACAGGTCTTAAAGACAGAGCTTTCAATACAAAAGTTAAAACTATTTCCACATAGTTTCACTTCAGCTCATCTGTGAAGCATCTGGAATTTAAATATAAAATTAAAAAAAAAAAATTATAATAAAACAAATAAAAATCCCAAAACTAAACAGGATGTTTAGCAATATCATTTTGGTCTGACTTTTCAACAAATCAAGACTAGGCTTTTCATGTTCAACAAGTTTACTTTCATTTTGCCCTCTTTTACAACCCTGTCTTGCACATTTGCTGATGTTACCTGAAACTGTCATGTGTAAAGGTCACTGGATCCATTTCCTTCACATTGAACATCATCATTACGTCAAAATGTTAATACTTCAAGTACATGTTCCCTACTGCATTTTTGTTGGCTTCAGAATGAGTGTGCTTCCCAAAAGGTCATGTTTCTCTAGCTGTATTAATGCAAGTTCTCCCCCACACTGCACGGAAGGAGAGCAGCGTTTGCCCTGAGTCACCAGAGCAACCAAGCCCCGATGTGTCTGGCACTAATCCTGTTCTTCCATCCACTTGGCCCCATGGTCGCAACATCCCAATGGCCGGCTAGAAAATCAGCCATTCCGCCTTTCCATCAAAAGGCTACTGCAGACTCTCCTTTCACATTTAGCAATGCCAAGTTCATCACTTCTAACACAGTTATTAAATAAAGGTTTTCCAAATAAAACCTCCCTGGTGTTTGTATTACCCGACAGCACGACTGCCTCTCCCGGCCCTGCTCAGCCGCACTGGCACCAGCGGCTCTCCCGCTGTGTACCTGCGCAGGTTTGGGAACGGTCCCCTGTGGCACAAGGGGCACCGTGACCTGCTCCTCTCGGAGCAGCCCGCATCGTAAGCCAGTAGGTGCGAGGCCGCGTCCCGCAGTGCCTGATTCTGCCACCTGCAGGTGCGGTGACAGGCTCTGCCCGGCTCCCTGCTCCTCCCCTCGGAGCCATCGCACACTTGCCTCCCTCCCACCCGCCCCAGTCCCTCTCCGACTGTCGGCAGTCCGTTCGGCCGTGAGGAAGCGACCGGCCGCGCCGCTCCAGCCGCACTCTCACTCACGGCTGCCCGCCTCCTCCTGCGGAGGCCCCGGGGCCGTCGGGGTCGCTTCCTCAACGAGGCGGCCGCAGGCCCCTCCCCGACGGGCGGGCAGGGGCGGTGCCCGCAGGGACTGTGACGATGGCGGCGGCGGGCCGGGTCGAGCCGAGCCGGGCCGCCGCTGTGGGAGCGGGCAGGTGACGGAGAAGGCGGCGGCTTAGCGGGCGCCCGGCGCCCCGTGGCGCCCCTCAGGCATGAGCCGCACCGTGTTGCTGGTGCTGGCGACCTGCGCCTGGCTGGGCCCGCGGCCGGCGCGGTGCCAGGAGGCGCCGCCGCCTCCGCAGACCCCCGACTGGCGGATGACGCTGAAGACCATCCGCAACGGAGTGCACAAGATCGACGTGTACCTCAACGCGGCGCTCGACCTCCTGGGCGGCGAGGACGGCCTCTGCCAGTACAAGTGCAGCGACGGTGAGGCGGGTGCCGGGGCGGGACCCTGCCGGCCCGCGGCGACCCTTGCTCTGCCGAAGCCGGCTTGCTTCGGGCGGACCGGCCCGGGTGGGTCCAGCCGCGGCTGCGAGGGCGGGCGGGGGGGCGGGCGGCTGTAGCTCTCCAGCCGGTGCTGCCGACGCTCCCAGGGAACCGGGGCGCAGCCGCAGAGGAAACCGCACTAACAAGTTCTTATACGTGTAGACATATATATACATAAGTATGCATATATCCCTCTTGGAGGTGGCTCCCTTGTCGGCTGTCAGGCGGACGACTCTCTGAACGGGCGTTTCTTGCAGGGTTTTCAGCGTGCCCCCAAACACAGGGTACTCATAAACCCTCTTGGTCTCTCGGCCGAATCGATTCACCCTCAGTTTAGTGGGGTGGATGATTTGTCAAGTCAGGAAAGGAGCTCGGTTGTGGCACCCTGTCTCCGCAGGAGCGGCCAGGACACCGTGAGGTTTCCTCTCTAGAACATGCACTTTTCAAATATGCTTTTTCTTTGTTTCTTTCAGTTGTGGCCTCGGTTTGTTTCTAATACAGAAACAAGGGGAGGGGGGGCATTGTTCCAGTTAACTCCACAATCTTCCTTAACCTGGGATGCAGAATTCCCTGCCTTGGTGCGCTAGTAAGCGTTCAGGGAGATGCGGCTTTAGCAGTCTGCACTGATTTAAATTTTATTAATGTTAGAGTTGTAGAAATAAAGAGATGTTTCATTACAGTTAATTTTAAAGGTTAAGCTAAAAAAAATAATCAGACCACCACTGGTGATTGCATGTAAAGCATAGAAGTATCAATGGGCTTCATCTAAAGTACTCTTTAATGTAATGACACATCAATTTCAGTAACTCAAGCTCTTTTTTTTTAACCTGGACCTAACAGTGACACTTGCTGAGGTTTCTTGTCCCTGTGTTTTAGAAAAAGCTTAGTAACCCTAAGTTGTAATTTGGCACGAATTGTTGATACTTAGGTGCCTCAATATATGTTTAAGTTAAAAATATAACTGATACTGTCTTAAGCTACACAAATGCCTGTGGTGAGTTTTAATAGCACTAAAACTCTGTAAAAAAATCTCAATCTGTTTGAGGCATGATAAATTACCTTTTTCAGGATCAAAGCCCTTTCCTCGCTACGGCTATAAACCATCACCACCAAATGGTTGTGGATCCCCCCTGTTTGGAGTTCAGGTGAGTATTTCCATTTGGGGCTTTTTTGTGTGTCTTCCATACATCAATTTTCCTCAATGTAGGTGTTCTTCTCCCTCCCCTGTTCTAAGGATGAGACAGCATCCATGTACAGTGTCCTTGCTTTTATCAGTTCCAACACACGCTTTGGTAGTAACATATGGAAAAAGTATAGTATTATAAACGAACATAGCATAAACATTTTCACCATTGACATAAAATATGATAGGGATAAAATTTAATGTTGATGATTAAGTTATAATTTTTGAATGTTTGGTTTAGTCTTTTGTTCTCAGAATCTTGAAAGCATTGAATAACCCCAGCTGTAGCCATGTGAGAGTGGAAGGTCTGGCTCTGACTCCTTCTGTCCTTACTGACACTAATCCATTTTGCTTAGTGCTAGAAAGAAAATACACATTAGCTTATGTACTGGGATGGAGTTTCTTCATAGCAGACTGCATGGTGTTGTGTTTGGGAATTTGGCCCAGAACGCTGTTAGTGTTGGCTGTTGCTGCACAGTAATTGCACAGCTTTAGGATTTTCTCTTTTGCTTCCACTCTGCCCCTCCACTGCCCTAGAACCTAGGCTGGGGCTGAGCAAGAGAATGGGAGGGTACACAGCAGGGGCAGCTGACCTGAGCTGGTCAGAGGGATATTCTATAGTACATAGAGTCACACTCAGCAACAAGAACTGGAGCAGTGGAAGAAAGGAGGGGTGATGGTGATAGTATGTGTGTTGGCTTTCAAGGTGGCTGTTGCTCAGACTGGCTGGGCATCCATCTGCTTGCGGGACATGAAAAAACGATTACCTTTGCACTGCTAATTTTGTGGCATTTTCTTCCTCTTCCATTCATCTGTTAAACTGTCTTTATCTCAACCCACAAGTTTTCTTGCTTTTGCTCTTCCTATTCTCTCCATTCCATGGAGGGGGATGGGAGGTGAGCAAGCAACTCTGTGGGTGCTTGGCTGCTGGCTGGAGCCAAACCACTGCAGCTTACTAGAGGTGAACAACACAATGCAGAGATAAGTGAATGACAGCTGCATTGATTGCATTAGTTTGTAATTTATGACTGTTCCAGCCTATTTGTAGGCTGCATCTCTCTTAACTGGAATACTAATGGAGTGGGTGTGGGGGGATTTTCTTCACAGTTTGACATCGGAATCCCCTCGATGACAAAGTGCTGCAATCACCACGACAGATGCTACGATACTTGTGGCAATACAAAAAATGATTGTGATGAGCAGTTTCAGTCCTGCCTCTCCAAAATTTGCAGAAATGTGCAGAAAACGCTTGGAATCTCAGAGAGTGTCCAGGGTAAGTGTGAATAAGCCTCTCTTTCATTTCAAGTTTAACTAAGCTTAGTTGGAAAAGAATCTTTGTGCAGTGCAGTAATGCCACGTTTTCATAAGCTGATGCTATTGCTGAAAGATGCCTTGTTCTGTCCCTCTTGTCATGCAGCCCAGACACTTGTACAGTGGAGCAGTGACACAGCACAGGAAAATGATCAGGGCTTATGCTAACCTTAAGGGGAAAAACTAATGCTTCCCCTTTAGGAGTATGAATATGAGAATATAACTTGATCAAAATGCATGTATGATTCTTGCATTTACTGTAGCATAGATGAATGTTCATTTTTCTGGTGGGTGATTTCTATATGTCTACTACGTGTGATAGCTAGTAAACTGTAGGGAAAAAATGAGTTGTTTCCTTTTATGAAGTAAGATACTAGAATAATATACTGTTATGGTGGAAGTAATTAACGCTATCCCTTAGTGAATATATTTTAGGGATTTTTTAATGACAGACTATATGGTACTCATTCTGGTTGCTGGCCTGTATCTGATAAGTACATGACATAATCACACTTTTTAACTTGGGCAGTGTCACTTTTACAGTAAGTACTTCCATAGAGAGCAGAAAGTTTTTAGAGCAGGCCTGTGTTTAAACTTCTCAAATTCATTTAACTGCAGTTAAATCATGACATTAGTGTTTAGTGTCACAGTTGGTGAATGCTCAATTCTGTTGAGCTGCTGTTGAAGACAGCAACCTCTGCATAAATTGGGATGCAAAAAGTGAGGAGGAAAAGCAGCTCTTTCATCTTTTCAGGACCAAGTGGTGTTTTTTAGGCTTTTGAGTGATCAGAGGGCTGGAGAACCTCTCCTATGAGGAGAAGCTGAGAGAGTTGTGCTTGTTCAGCCTGGAGAAGAGAAGGCTCTGGGAAGACCTTAGAACAGCTTCTAGTACCTAAAAGGGGCCTACAAGAAATATGGAGAGGGACTTGCTACGACCCATAATGACAGGACAAGGGGGAATGGCCTGAAGCTGAAAGAGGGGAGATTTAGATTAGACATTAGGAAAAAATTCTTCCCTGTGAGGGTGGTGAGGCACTGGCACAGCCTGCCCAGAGAAGCTGTGGCTGCCCCATCCATTCAAGGCCAGGTTGGACGGGGTTTTGAGCAACCTGGTCTAGTGGAAGGTGTCCCTACCCGTGGCAGGGGGAGTGGAACTAGATGACTTTTAAGGTCCCTTCCAACCCAAACCATTCTATGACTCTATGTTTCTAACACTGATAACATTCCATATGCAATGAATTTTCTTGTTCATCTTGTTCAGCATATGAAAAATCTTTACTTGGAAATTATTCTGTATTGGCCCAGTCTTTCATTTGACAATTTATTTGCTAGGCCCAGGGAAGATTTCTTCTTTCTTAGCATCATGCTCTTTTTGCCAGAGTAATTTCTGTTAGTTTCCTGTTATCTTAGAAAAGTACTTTTAACTGAACGCCTCTTTGTTTGCAGCTTGTGAATCAACTGTTCAGCTGTTGTTTGATGCGGTTATACATTTAGGATGTAAACCATACCTGGATAGCCAGAGAGCTGCATGTATGTGTCGTTACGAGGATAAGACAGATCTCTGAAAGAAGGTACAGAGATTTCATGGTGTAGAGTAAGTCAAAGACTCATCTGAAATGAAGCGTTTGGTTACAAAGTTTTATGCTTTTCAGTCAGTAATATATTAGACACTGACATGAATATACTGGTTTGAAAGTCACTGTGATATTCTTCTAATGTAAAAACTGAAACAAGTCTTCTTTCTCTTCCCTTTATGCCAGAAGCTTGAAACTGTAATTAGTTTCCTTTGGTGTATGTCCACTCAGGGTATGCTATTTTAAAGCACTACTTTAAAATTCTGAAGAAAACTCCACAATAGGGAAATCAGAGGTGCAGAAGAGTTGTACTGAATTCTCAGATGACTTTTAATATAGGTCAAATTTTAGGTTTGCTAGCAGTTGATGCACCTGATAGATCCTGCTTGTGGTACAATTGCCTTCAGTTCTCTCTGATGGATTTTGTCCCGT